TGGAAGACTACAAAGAATAAGGGAATACTCTAAACAAGTATGTGCTAAGAAATAATTCAGATGAAATGAACCAGTTCTTCAAAGGACACAAACTACTGAAAATGACTCAAGAAGAAATAGAAAATATGACAATATACTTTACTATAACAAGTAAAGAGCAGAAAAAGTAATAAAAAAACTACCCACAAAGAAAGGCCCATGCCCAGATGGCTTCACTGACAAATTCTACCAAACATTTAAAGAATTAATTCTAATTCTTCATAAACTCTTTTAAACTATAGAAGAGATGGAATACTTTCCAACTTATTCTATAAGACTAGTACTACTCTGATATCAAATTCAGACAAAGACATCAAAGAAAAAGGAAAATAGAGACCAATATATTTTTTGAATATAAAAGCAGATATCCTAAACAAAATACTAGCAAACTGAATCCAGTAACATATAAAAAAGATTATATACCATGATCAAGTGGGATTTATGTCAGGAATACAAAGTTAGCTCAATATCTGAAATTCAATTAATGTACTCAATAACACAGAATAAAAAACAAAACATGGTCATCTCAATACATGCAGATAAGGCATTAGACAAAATTAAATGCCATTTTTTAATTTAAAAAAATCAATAAACTAGGATTAGGAATGAACTTCCTCAAGCTGATAAAGAGCATCCATAAAAAAAGAAAGGTCACAGCTAATATCACACTTAAAGGTGAAAGACTGAATGCTTTCCCCCTAAGATCGAGAACAAGACAAGGAAGCCTATTCTTGCATTTCTATTTAACAGTAACAGAGATTGTAGCCAGGACAGTCAAGCAAGAAAGTGAAATCAAAGGCAAAGAACAGAAAGGAAGAAGCAAAACTACCTTTATTTGCAGATGACATGATTTATAAATAGAAAATCCTAAGAAATCCACTAAAAATCTACTAGAGCTAATAAATGAGCTTGGCAAAGTCTCAGGATATAAGATCAATCAACATTCAAAGACCAGCTGTTTTTCCATACACTTGCAATGAACAACCCAAAAATGAAATTAAGGAAACAATTTCATTTACAATGACATCAAAAAGAATAAATACCTGGGTTAAGTGAAACTTAAACTCTGAATACTACAAAACATCATTGAAAGAAATTAAAGACCTAAATAAGTGGAAAGATACTCCGTGTTCGTGAATCAGATGATTTAACTGTTTAAGAATACTTCCCAAATTGATCTACAGATTCAACATAATCCACACCAACATTCCAGCTGGTTTCTTTCAAGAAACTGATTCTAAAATTCAAATGTAAATGCAAGGGGCCCAGAAAGCCAAAACAATCTTGAAAAAGAGAAACAAAGTTGAAGGATTCACACCTCCAATTTCACAACTTTCTACGAAATCTACAGTAATCAAGATGGTGTGGTATTGGCTGGACATATTGGATGGTCCAGCCAGGACATGAGATTGGACATATAAATCAATGGAATAGAATTGAGAGTCCAGAAATAAAACCCTGACATTTATGGTCAACTGACTTTTGGCAAGAGTGCCAAGGTCATTCAATGGGGAAAGAATAGTCTTTTCAACAAATGGTGTTGGGACAACTCTTCACATCCAAAGGATAAATTTGTATCCCTACCTCATACCATATATGAAAATTGACCAATAACTAAATGGAAGAACTAAAAATACAAAATTCTTGGGCATCCTTGGCGATCCAATAGTTAAGAATCCACCTGCCAACGCAGGGGACATAGGTTCGATCCCTGGTCCAGGAAGATCCCATGCGCCACAAGGCAACTCAACCTGTGCACCACAACTACCAAGCCTGCACTCTAGAACCCTGGAGCCACAATTACTGAAGCCCATGCATGCAGAGCCTGTGCTCTGCAACAAGAGAAGTCACTGCAATGAGAAGCCCGCAAACCACAACTAGAGAGTAGCCCCTGCTCAATGCAACTAGAGAAAGCCAGCACACAGTAAAGACGACCCAGCAGAGCCAATAAATAAATAATTTTTTAAAAATTCTTAGATGAAAACAGAAGTACAAATAATCTTGGATTTGACTCAAAAGCACAAGTAACCAAAGAAAAAATAAACTGGACTTCATCAAAATTAAAACTTTTGTGCTTCAAAAAACATTATCAAGAAAATGAGAAGACAACCCACTGAATGGGTAAAAATATTTGCAAATCACACATTTGATAAGGAACTTGTAACTAGAATATATTCTTCAAGTCTTACAAAAAATAATTTAAAAATCAGCAAATGATCTGAACAGACATTTCTCCAAAGAAGATCTACAAATGGCTAATAAACACATGAAAAGATGCTCAGCATCTTCAGTCATTAGGGGTGTGCAAATAAAAACCTTAATGAGATACCACTCCATACCCACTAGGATGGTTATAATCAAAAGGAAAGACAATAACAAGTGTGGCTGAGGATATGGAGAAATAAGAACACTCATACATTACTGATGGGGATACAAAATGGTGTAGCCACTTGGGAAAACAAGTTTATAAGTTTCTCAGAATGTTAAACATTGAGCTACCATATGACCCACCAATTCTACTCAAAGGTCTATAACCAAGAGAACTGAAAACATGTATTTACGTAATAACTTGTAATGAATGTTCATAGTAGCATTGCTCACTATAGTAAAAAAGTAGAAACAATCCAAATACCCATTAATTGATGAATGGATGAATACAAGGTTACATATTCATACAATGGAATATTATTCAGCAATACAAAGGAATGAAGTTCTGATTCATGACATGACATGATAAACTTTGAAACACTGTGCTGAATAAAAGAAGTCAGACATGAAAGACCCCATACTGTCTGATTACATTTATATGAAATGTCCAGAACAGCCCAAATCTATAGACAGAAGTAGATTTGTGACTGCCTAGGGCTAGGGAGGTATAGCGTAGGAGAGTAACTGCTACTGGTTTGGGGAGCAGGGGGATGAAAATGTTCCAAAATTGATTGTGGTGATGGTTTGTACAGTTCTATCAATATACCAAAAAGGTCACTGAATTTTACACTTTAAACTGCTGAATTGTGTAGTATGTGAATTATATCTCAATAAAGCTGCTATTATTAAAAAGTGATCCAGGAAAACAGTTTGTCATTTCCTCAAAAAGTTAACCACAAAATTGCCAAATGACCCTGAAACTTCACTACTAGGTATATACCCAAAAGAATTGAAAACACAGACTCAAATAAGTATACATACACTCATGCGCATAGTAGCACTATTCACAATAGCTAAAAAGGTGGAAAAAACCCAATGTCCCTCAAATGAATGGACTAAAAAATGTGATACCAAAAAAAAATGTAATACATACAACATGATTAAATATTATCCAGCCTTAAAAAGGAATGAAAAAAAAAAAAGGAATGAAATATTGATGAATGCTACAACATGGATGAACCTCAAAAACATTATGCTAAGTAAAGGAAGCCAGAGGAAAAGGTCATATCATCTATGATTCTATTTACATGACACGTCCAGAACAGGTAAATTCATAGAAAAAGAATACAGACTGGCAATTGCCAAGGTCTGGAAGAAAAGGAAAATATGGAGAAACTGATTAATAAATAAGGGATTTTACTTTGCAGTGATGGAAAAGTTTGAGAACTAGATGAAAGTGGTGGTTACACAACTTTGTGTACATGCCACTGAATTGTTCAGATGGTTAATTGTGTCTTACATGAATTTCATCTCAATAAATTATTTACAAGAAACAGTAATCGAAAATTCAAAATTAACTTTTTCATTTACATGCAACATTTTAAAAGTTGAAATGCATTTCAGAAAAAGAATCTACATCTACATGTTGGGCCTGGCTTTTTTTTTTAACCTAAGAAATCTGGCTACATTTTTAAAACTCTAGGTAATCTCTACTCTCATAATAAATTACTACCATGGAATTAGTTCAGTTGGAGCTCTTGAAAAATTTATTTCATGACATGCTTACAGATTTCAGAGACTTGGTGCATCTCTGTTGCTCTACTGTCAAGGATTAATTTGCTAACTCACTGGCGTTAAGTCAGCTGGGAGGGAGACCAGCATTTGATTTCCAAAGGAAAACATCCCACACTAATTAGGATAGGATACTCTGTATCCTAAACTCTGCATGTTAAGCCTGAGTGAACTGCTAAAACAAAGATGTGGAATAGAAACTGGGAAACTTATCTATTAATATAACCAACATAACACAGGAATGGAGTTTAAGAGCAAGTTATTCACACAATCATCCTAGCCTGTTTGTTTTGCATTTAATTTGCATGTGGAGGCTATATCTATTAAAGAAACATTCAAATGAGTTTCAACTAGATTCTAGTATCTATGAGAAAGAACCTCAGTACAAAGTAAACAAAGGAAATACTGAAGCCTCTAATTACATGGGGGGTAGTGGGGGGTCACATCATCTATTTAGAAACAACACACTTTTTGAGAAGCAGATGATCTAGCATTTCTCAAATTCTACCTAGAACATTCTAAAAACATGAAGCAAATCTCATGAAGTTTTTTTTTTTTCATGAAGTTCTGTACTGAACAGCTATAAATAATAATCTGAGCATTGAGTTATAAAATCTAATAAAAATTCAATGATGCTACCAAATGTCACGTAGGTATGGACAGAGCTATTTATAAGTGTATTGAATAAACAGATACAAATTTACAGAGAGGCTTTCTTGTTCCCTGCCACTGAGTTTTAAATTGAGATTTTATATTGGTACATTTTCAACTGAAATCAATCAAACATAAAATATCTCTCAGATAATACTTTATGGCACATTATAAATTCAGAGTTACATCTTCCTAAAGGTAGTTTCCAACATTATACCAATATTTAACCTCCAGTTCAAGTGACGATGTCTGGTGCAAAATCTCTCTGGGCAGCTTGAGAACCATGTGAGTAACTGAGAAAGGGGCAGAGGGTGAACCCAGCTCGCCCTCCCCTTTTCATTCAGGAAGACAAGCACACTCCTGGCACTCACCTTTCTCAGATTTCTTGTCTTTTGTTGCAGATGAAGTACCACAGCCCATGTCTTCTAAATCTTGTATGTTCATGAATTCAACTTCTCATTCTAAAACAGTGTGAAAAGGCTTCCCTTTGCGCTGTGAAGAGCCCCTCCTGACTGATTCACCTGGGTCACAGATCCTGATGAGGAGGACACACAAAGGAGGGAGGAAAGCACCCGTTAACAAGGTATCTAAGGGCTGCTCAGCAGGATTCATTTTATGCTTCTCCTCAACTGCTGTTCATCATGTGATGTGGAAAGTGATCAGACATAATCTAATCCTGATTTATTTTCCAAAACACAGCAGCAGCAACACAGCAGATATAGGCTGCTTTTCTGCAACACATAAATTATATCTTGCCCGTATCTAGGTCAGATCAATACTCTATAAAATAAAGCATTAAAATGAAAAGAAAAATGGATATTTAAGAGCAAACAATTTTATAGTTGAAATATAGGTAATGCAATATGAAGGATCTGACACAAATTAATAGCTTTGGTTTTAAGCTCAAAATAGTTATTAATATATCTATCTAAGCTTTTAAATATACAAATTGGAAAATGACTATGAGACAACATATTTATACAATTATGCCAAAATTCAAATCAAAATGATGTCAACTACAAATTGGCACTTGTCAAGGGCATTTGCAGTCCACTTCTGTGGGGACTGAATCGTGTGCTGCTGCGGCTGTTGACCTTCAACACACCCTGAAGGGAGTTCAGGGTGGAGAGTGAGGCACTCTGTGCTCCAGGGAAACTAGTGGAACAGGCCTCTAGGTAGTCAGATATTTTCAGGAACTGATTTCAGGATCCCAATCCTTGCATCTCTTCATATCTAGAAAAGCCCAGAAAAGCACTAAATCCCCTCATGATGACATCAGCTCATGACTAGCAGAAAACCTTTTGTAAAATAAGTGTTTGATTGCATTAAACCCCCCATTCACCAAAATCTTATATATTGACCTTGCCCCACTGCCTCTTCGGAGCAGTCTCTCAGAGCTATCTGAGGTGCTGTCTCCTGGGCTGCAGTCCTCATTTTGCCCCAAATAAAACTTAGCTCACAACTTTCATGCTGTGCATCTTTTTTAATCGAGAATGAGTTTTCTGACACTGTTTCTCAGAATCAGTTGGCATACTCGCTTAAAAAAAAACGGAGGCTAAAGGCCTCCCTAGAAAAATGCCCTTTTCAAACAAGCTCTCCAGGCATTTCTGAGGCCCCTCCAAAGTCTGCCCTCACACTCACCAGGCCTTTTGATGGGTTAGCTGAGACTGCTATATTGGATCTTTCACAATCATCCCATGGGAGTTCTCAACTAAATTCCTTTCTGTAGTAACCCCACCTCATGACTTGTGGGATGATGCTTCCTTTATTTCATGATGCTCCAAACCAGCTAAGCTAATCTATTTGCATTTCTTGATAGTAACAAAGAGAACAACTGACTTGGGACTCTGCCAAGCCTGCCTATTTTTCTTTTAGTACTACACTAAAAGCTTCAAAATGTGAATCAATGAAAGAAAGGGGAAGAAAGAAATGAGCAAAATACATGGCTGATTCATGTCAATGTATGACAAAACCCACTACAATATTGTAAAGTAATTAGCCTCCAACTAATAAAAAAAATAAAAATAAAAACAAAAAAATAAAGTAAAAAAAAATAAAACAAACAAAAAAATATTTGAATTATGGAAATATTTTAAAAACAACTATAACCTTAATAAACAGATATTCTGATCAGAGCTAGGCTTGATTCTATTATGGAATTAATTAACCCTCCTAAACTATGGGTTATGGAATTAATTAACTCTCTTAAACTTTGGGTTATTTCCAAATTCGATAGGCATTTCTTACATATCTCTCTTATCTACATCATGAGTAAAAAATGTTAATAGGGTCAGCTTCAAGGGCAGAAAACCCTTGTGGCATTCTACTCCAGACCAATCTCCAGGGTTAGTACAGACCCATTACAGTCACACTCTCCCAGCATATTCATTTAGTTAAGTGGCAAATTTACCCATCATAAGTATCCACTTATTTATCTATAAGATGTACTGGGAAATCTCGCTTAATATTTTAATGAAATTAAGATATATAATTTGACACCTTACATTCCAGGCTGGGTTTCCCTCATGGTTCAGACGGTAAAGAACTTATCTGCCTGCAGTGCAGGAGACCTGGCTTTGACCTGGGTCGGGAAGACCCTCCAGAGAAGGGAATGGCAATCCACTCCAGTATTCTTGCCTGGGAAATCCATGGACAGAGGAGCCTGGTGGGTTACAGTCCATGGGGTCGCAAGAGTTGGACATAACTGAGCAACACACACACACACAAATACACACATATTCCAGGCTAGCCAGCAACAGCAGAAGATAAAGAAGAGGAGGAGAGGAAGGAAGAAGAAAGGAGGGAGGGAGGGAGGAAGAAAGAAAGGAAAACACTTTGCCATTATTTTTATTTAGTAACAGAATCACAGACATTTAAAAGTGGTGCACGTGTGCGTACTAAGTCACTTCAGTCATGTCTGACTCTTTGCAACCCCATGGACTGTAGTCCTCCAGGCCCCTTTGTCCATGGGATTCTCCAGGCAAGAACACTGGAGTGGATAACCATGCTACCCTCCAGGGCATCTTCCCCACCCAGGGATTGAACCTGCATCTCCTATGTCTTCAGCATTGGCAGACGAGTTCTTTACCACTAGCACCACCTGGGCAGCCGCTTTAAAGGTCGCAGAGACTTTTAAAATTACCCAGAATTTACACACAGTGCAAGAAAACAAAGATACTTACCTAACGTCACATAGACAAACTGGTTGTCAAATTCTGTTGCATATTAGCATCACCTGGGAGGCTTTTAAACTCTCAATGCTCAGAGGCCACCTCACCAAATTAAGAGTCTCTGGGGATTTGAAGAATAGTGATGCCTGGGCCCCATCCCCAGAGATTCTGATCTCACTGGTATTGAGTGCAGTTTGGGCATCAAGAGAATTAAAAGCTCCCCAGGTAATTCTAATGTGCAGCAGAGCTTGACATTCTCCACTGGAAACAATGTTCCAGCAAACCCACAATGATGCCTAGTGATTATATTTTCCTCTAAATGCTCTGACTCCATCTGTTTGGAAAAGAATTTTTCCAGAGGTCATGTCAGGCTTATAAGGCAGTGGCTTCTGGGATCTACTCTTTTCTTGTTTTTGAAACTGAAGCACTATTTACCCATTGCCTCTGTTCTCTCCATCCTCAGACATTTCTCAAAGGTTATCTGCAGTGCCTATGAGAGCATTTCTGCTGGGTTTTTCCTCAACCTTTGAAGTAGGACATTTGGTCCTAGTGAGTTTCTCTATGTGCCTAGATCCATGCTTTCCTACATGAGTACTGCAAAACTTACCAGGGGAGATTATTTTAAAAGGCACACACCCAGGCTTTACTGCCAATACTTGGATTCAAGCAGTCCAAGGGGGCCTAGGAATTTGCAATGAAAAATGTACCCTTTATGGGACTTTTGACACAAGCACTCCCCATATCTCAGTCTGAGAAACACTGCTCTGCATATCTCCCTTGGGCTCTGCTTCCATTTTTATACTACTTTTTTCTATCCCATTTTATGAATACACAGAGTTAGACACTGAGTAGGCAACACTGATGCAATGACAGGAAGTGATATACTTCAAACTCAATTTTTTCCCCAGGAAAAAAATTTCTCTCTCTGAAGGCATTTGGTTCTCAGCCACTCCTCAGTCAACTCATTACACAACAAACAAAAGTTCATATAAAAGATTCACTAAGAACTAAAAAGCATCAAACTTGAGTATATTTCTGCTAGATTGTAAGCTCCATGGATACTTTTCTTTCTAAATACTCCTTGAATCTCTGGCACCTACACAGTGCCTTTCACATAGCAGGTGTTTGAAAAATGCCAAGTGAATGAATGAAGGAATAAGGGAATAAATATTTGTAATCCAGGCCCCTTTAAAAAATGAATGCTAAAAGTAATTATTAGTCCATCATTTCATGCACAAATACATGCTATTTAATTACACAAAAGTCTTTTACTAAACCAGAAAATGGGTAGTACTTATATATTCATTTTTAAAGAAAAATTTTAAATCATGACAGAAAGAAATGAGAATTGTTTGAGAATTTGGGGTTATTTAGAAAAAATAATTTGCTATTAGAATTTGTATATTATTAATTGGTAATAATTTAATTTCCTCAGATAACAGGTAAAACAAAACAAAAAAGAGTCACCCCATTTTATTTCTCACCAAAATAAGAGCTGGTTATGGCCAGGTGCCACTCACTACTCCCAGACACTACCCGACCTAGACTGCAATCATACATGTTTGAAAGCAGTGTAAGTGCGTTTGAAGACAACCCTGGGTGGTATAAAGCTGATAAAAATGATCTGGGAACTTTCCATCATGTGGGACAATCTAAGCTCCTTCCATTCCCTGCCCTCTGTCAGCGTGAGATAAGTACTCAGTGTGCTAAAGGAGTCTGAAGAAATGATGCCCTAGGGCCTGAAAGGGGTTCTCTGGCTCAAGAGGCTGGGGGTCTCTGCAGCCTTCACCAAGACCTGAGGATGCCACGGTTGGTGATAAAAAACCACCAAAAAGGTGGATCTTGGCAAAAAACAGCTTGAAACTTGCTCAGTGCTGCTGCCCCTACCAGTACACACCAAGGATGATTCTAAAGCATAAACATAAAAGTGACTCATCATTGGCACTCACTCATAATCTGCCAAAGGAAAAGTCTTCCGAGGTTTCTGCTAAAAGGTTTCTACTGTGGGGGGCGGGGGAGGAGTAGAGGGAGCGGAGAGAACTGGAGGGTGGAGACTGTTTGACATTGATCAGTTCCTTTCGTCTTAATCACTATTCATTTCCCAACGTAAAAATACAAGGAAAGAACAAAAGATGGCCCTTGGAGCCAATCCAACCTTGGCCTCCAAGCAACCTTCAAGTACTAGCCCAGTCTCCCTGAGTTGTTCTTATTCTTGATTTTCTTTCTAAGTGCATCTCTACTGAATGCCCC